CAACCACACAGGTAGTCTGAGCAAACTGTACTTATTTGTAACGTTTGTTGTATTTTGTGATGGATTTTGTTCCAAGCTATATTTTTAGGGGCAAAGCTGCCACTGGTCCAACTCGCTACGTCGACTTTGCTGTTCGCTTACATCTTCAAAGTAGATGGAAATGAGATGCATGTCACTGGTGTTCTTGCTGTCCATACGGTACTGCTCATACATGAGGTCGTCACGCGAACACTCCAGCTCCATCAGCTTCCTGTGGGCCTGCAGCAGCTCTGCCTGCTCTATCAGCTGCTGTGTCTCTCCCACTATCTCTGGCACTAGACACAAAGCAAAGGAGAAAGACACCCATGCCAGTAAAAGCCAAGAGCAGATAAGGTTTCTATAGTAACAGAATATTGTTGGCATCTTTTAGATTGAAGTTTTTAGGTTCAGCCGAACTTACCAGAGAAGATATTTTTTAGGTTTTCCACAGCAGCAGCCAGCTGGCTGTGCTGAACTACAGCATCCTTGACATCTTTTAGGTTTTCAATGGTGTTAATGCTCTGCCTCCAGTCTTTACTGACATCAGCCAATGAACTCTGGATATCTTTGACATCTAGCAGAGCGCTGTGCAGCTGGGTCAGTCCAGTCCGAACACCATCCAACTGGGACTGAATGGCTGCCTGAAGAACATCATGGACCATCAGGAAACAGATTCAGCATCATTGTTGAATTACTGTGACTTAATAACCTTGTGCTATATACAAATGCTTTGCTCTCTTGTTTAACGTGTATCCATCTACTGTGTAGATTACTAATTAATACATTCGCTATAAAAAAAGCATACCTTTACCTCAGCTGTTATTGAATTAAATACTAGACATTGCTGAGATAACAATAACAGTACACACAGAGGAAACATCACCTTGAGCCGCGCTTCCACTGACGCCTTTTTACGGGCTTCTCTTCTTCTGTATTGCTCCACTTTATCCAGCTGATCTGACCTCTGCAGCATCCCTGCCACACGCTGCACTGCCGTGGCAACTGCCTCCCTGCTCGTTTCCTCCATCGTCCTGCTCAGCAAATAAGTGTCAGGTGTGTCCAAAGGTTTCCACACTAGGACCTGCTTAAAGAGAGAAATATCGAAAGGGCTGATCTTTATGTAGTGCTTTTCTAAAACACATTTAACCATATATTCATGCAATGCTTTGCTTTACAAACTTTAACACTCGTGACTGGTTTAGACACCTTGATTATTGTGGACATTAATTTACACCATAAAGCCCAACTCTAAAACCGGGCAGAAACTTTCACACTGTCTGGATTTAAGAAGTAAGTTTTTTGAACATGTTTAGCACCATCATGTGCCAGTAATTCAACCTAATTCAATTTGATCTACAGATGCTCTTATCACTGTAATAAGATTTTGAACGCTGTAGGCCATAAGATCATTTGTATCCTTCTCTAAAGATGTTTCTGTGCTGTGATGAGCTCTGAAACTTGACTGAAACTCTTCAAATAAGCGATTCCTCTGCAGATGATCTGTTAGCTGTTTAGCAACTACTTTTTCAAGAATTTGCGATAAAAGGAAGCTAGTTAGCCACTGGTTTTGGGGACTGTATGCTGCGGGTCTCCACTTGTGAAGACATACAGATTTCAAAGGTCCTGTTTATAAAAGCAACAATGCTGTGCAATTATTGAAGGTAAAGTCTAATCCTGACACATCACATGCACGTGAATGTCACGTCCATTATTTTCTTCCGGTTATCCCATCCGGACGAAGGGGCGCTGGAGCTGTCACAGAGCAAGAAGCGGGCTAAACTCTGTCAGCTCTGTCGCAGGGATAAAGCCATTTCCAAACGACTCTGGCACAGCCTTTGTCTTCTCGACAGCACTTCATTGGCAGACACTGTTAAATGGCTTCTGTGGTCCTAATGCCGCCGCCTAACGTTAACGCAACACAATAAAAGCTAGTGTTGTTTTTGCACTGACAGCTATAACACCGCATCCGAACACAGTCGTGACTGGATCAAGTATACAATTCAACTAACGTTGAAATATAAACAGATGATCCAACGTAGTAAATGGATGCTAAGCTAACAACAGGCGAAAACGTCCCAGTGTCCGCGACAATACAACAAGCTAGTTCCTCAGAGCCGGAAACTTACCTCACTTAAGGCAAAACCAGAGGGAAGACAAAAACCATATCCACCAGTGTTAAATATGTTATTATTTCAACTAACACAGCCTTTGTTGTCGTTGTTCAACTTCCTGCTCCCAGCAGCGCAGGAGACGCCTGCTGCTCCTTCTTCTTGGCTGCTGACAAACAACGAATTGGTGAATTAGCGCCACCAGCTGGTATGGAGGGTGGGTCATACAAATGCTTCTTCTTCTTCAGTCAAGTTTAATGGCAGCTTGCATCTAAAACTGTTGCATTACTGCCACCTCCTGGCTGTTAATCATCCGTCATTCCTGAATCCTCAGATCCTCTTGATGAGACCAGTATTTCTCAAAAAACGAAAAACCACCATTTTCCCTTCACCATGACTTAACTCTTTAACCATCGTTCAAACGTAAGTTCCCTTCCACCACTCATTTCACCCCACATCACCCTCCTGTGACTTGCATACTTCCTGCAACTAAGGAGTACATGCTCAACCATCTCCATGTCAGTGCACCCATCACACAACCCAGTCGGATGTTTTACTATCCTAAAAAGAGTACCATTTAAAAAGCAGTGGCCTGTTCGTATTCTACTGACAACAACCTCCTCCTGTCTCTTCAATCCGCTACTCCTCTTAGCTTCTATTGTGTTTTGCACCCTATATAAATGTC